TCCCCTAACTCAGAGGACTCCTGCTCTACTCTGCGTAATTTACTGGCCATTTCACTCCTCATTTGCACTCACAGAGCGTGAACAGGAAGGCAGGGACACAAGAGACAAGCCAGGAAACTCGATATTCTTTGTAATGACAGGAAAAGATTTTATGTCTGATGCAAATTAGAAATGAAAATAAATGTAGTGGAGCTATGAATTCATTCCCCATACTTCTGTAAGTTCCCACTCTAAGTGAAAGGATGTGGCCCTACACTTCAGATAGTAAAAGGTCTTCATCTGATGTTAGACCGGATTAGATGCATTTAGAGCAGTCCTTCTCGACCAGGGGAGATGGGCCCCCAGGGATTTGGGAATCGCTGCTACTGACAGCGGTAACAGCCTCTACACACAGAAAACAAGCAGCTCCAGTCACCAACAGTATCAAGGTTGAAACCCCTGCTTCATATTTAGCTTCCCTAAATCCTTTTTTGGCAGAAGCCAGATAATATAATAAATAGATCTTAAAGTTAATAATACTTGCTACTACAAAGCTGCAAGGGGTATCCTGTATACTAAATCCTATGAAGTGGAGGAGTGACAGAAACCTGAGGGGATGTTACCGTCACCCCCACCACCACTCACCACACTTCCTTCTTAGTTTCATAAGGTAAATCACCTTTCAGTCTTCCTTACAAAACTTTTTACTTTAACAAGAGAAAAATATGCTTGACAATTTAAGTTAACATAAACCATCTGTTCTCCAGTTTAAATCATATTATCTGCTAACAGGTATTCAAAAAAGATTTCAGGGCGGCACCTATGGCTCAGTGGGGAGGGTGCCAGCTCATATACTGAGGGTGGCAGGTTCAAACCTGGCCCCAGCCAAACTGCAACAAAAAAATAGCCGGGTGTTGTGGCGGGCGCCTGTAGTCCGAACTACTCAGGAGGCTGAGGCAAGAGAATCGTCTAAGCCCAGGAGTTGGAGGTTGCTGTGAGCTATGACGCCAGCACTCTACTGTGGGAGATAAAGTGAGACTCTGTCTCAAAAAAAAGATTTCCATTTTATTAAAGTCACAACAAGCTTCACACAGGGTAAAGACTGCTCTTATGTTGCCCAGCCTTTGAAACTAAATGTAATTTAGAGACAGGTTTTAGCTGTATCCAATTATATTAGAATCTAAATACACACAACTTTTTCTAACCTACCAGAGCTTGAAAAAGGCTAAATTAAGTTTTTATGAGTATGATTAATTTTTCCATAGAGTTAAGATTCACTGGTTTATGTGACTGAAGGACAGGAGGCTTCTAATAGCTTTAAAGCACAAGAACATTTTCAGTGGTTAAAAACATATAATCAGGAAAATGCCCCACAACTTCAAACGTAAGATCTGTCCTTAGCCCAGCATCTGCTGTTTCTGTTTTAAAATAATCAAGTGTACTCAAGAAATACCATCTGGGGGCTATCAGGCCATATGAGGTTTTATGCCTGATATTTAAAGATTTTTTTAATAAGAAACTGTATTAAAAATGCTAACACACTTGCATGAGGTTGGCTCTCCTGGACACATTGGTACCATCTGCACAGATGTGCTGGTTTAGCACACAAACAATCTTCATTCTACTCAGAATTATTCTCACAACCATTTATTAATTCACACGTGAAAGCAGAAAATACAGGAAAAACTTATTGTTAGCTCCTTTATGGTTTCCATCCATTAAAATAAATCTGACCACTTCTAGAGCTTGTTTTTATCTCTTAAGAAGTAAATTCAACAAGCTTTGTGCTCTGCCCACACTGACTATTAAGGCTGATCACATAGCCCTGGTGCTGCTTAAAATTCAAAAGCAAAGGAAAATGAGACAAGAAAAAGATTAAATACAATATTTTTTAAAAGAGACATTTATTCTTGTAGTCTCTACACATTTTCTATAGAACTATAAAAGGAAGTCTAGGGCAGTGCACCAACAGGGAGTCTGTGAGAGCCTCACCACGTGTCCCAGGCCTTCTGCTAAACTTTCAGGTCAGAATTTACAAAAACTTAGGAACACTCACCGTCTTGCTGTTTCACGAGTCCCTGCTGAATGTACCGAATGTATGTGAAAAAGTTACATACAGAAGTGATCTAGACCAAAAGGAAAAAAAATGTCATGAATAATTAAAAGTCTCAAATCATAACAAGCTTTACGAAAATTCATGATTAAGTCACTTACCCTGTATCTGCAAAAAGGAGAAATGTAATAATAGTTGCTCGAGTCCCCTAATTTAATTCTGTGTTTACAGGACTTACTCTGGCCAGTGAGAGCACATTTTCTGTGAAATAATGGTAAATTTTAGTTTTTTGTAATGTAAAGCATTTGCCCCACCTTCTATGCAAGCTGTCTGTTCATTTGATTAAGAAAACAAATGTTTCAGAACCCTCTGCACACCGGGCCTGCTCCCGGTGCTGGGACACAAAGCTCCTGCCTTTAGGGGACTGACGTTCCAGCACAAGCTCAACACTCTGACATTCATTCACCCTGGGTCTGTTTCCAGAACCAGATGTTGTCCCACGTCGTGTCCCAGGGTAAATTACTAATAAGTGACCAGCTTTCCACCAGGATCCACGTCTCAGAACAAGCTGCGGACAGCTCGCAGGGCGAGGGCTTCCAGAGCAGGCACCTTTCTGTCTGGCTGCTGCCCCAGATACACGGATGTGAGGCTAGGGAGGCCACGGAGGGGTAAGCCAGGCTGAGTCTGAACAATCACACCCGGAAGACACCACTTTGTCATACCATCCTTTCTATCTGCATACCAAAAATCTAAAATTTGGCACAAGGGCTTTTTGTTTAGGCTACAGCCCCGTCAGGTCAGCAACTGTGTCTTATTCATCTTTAAATGCCTGGCAGCAAGAATGTGCCCAACACAGGGCAGACCTTCAGTAACTGCTGAATAAGTGACCAGGCACCTGTCCCAGCCTACAGCTCCATGAGATGAAGCTGGGTTATCGATGGAGCTGGTCTTGCCACACTCCCATTCTCTCCCATGCAGGAACTTGGCTAAGCACAAGTACCTCATCCCATCAATGCAAAATTAACACAACTCTAAGTAAAATAAAGTGGCCGATAGCAGTGTATGTGACATTATAAATCAGGTTAAGTATATGAAATCACCATTACATTTCATATTACTTATAAGAAATATGATACAAATCTCCCCCATATTAAGAAAACACAAAAATGTGTATCTGAAACAGAGTAATTTTGGAGGTAACTACTCAAATCACAAACCAATTCCTTCCTAGCTTTTCAAAGAGATTTTGTCTCATTCTTCTATTAGAAAATTCCTTTAATCATCTGTAGCAATATTTAGGGAGGATAGAAGAAGAAGTTTAAGGTGCAAGTGTTGGAATCTTTGGAAATTTCCAAAGTATAACTTACACAAGAGGAAAACGTTCCATCAAACTGATAAAAATCAACTTACACATTATTGTTCTGGAAAAATACATAAATCTGTATTTGTCTACTGCTTTGTCTAATTTTGAAAGCGCTCTGCTGAGGTGGTTGTAAGCATCAGCTTTTAAAATAATAAATAAGTATTTCGTAAATGAAGTCATTTCTAATTCCGTAAACTGGTCACACCTAATATATTTTTACTTGAGTCAGAATTCAATGTTAAGATTTCCAATTTTTTCCAACACACTCTAGCATCCCTTGACAGCTCTAGTCCCAGGATGTCACATCCTTGCTGGCCATTGTTAGGTGGGGACACTGACATGTCTAAATATGGACCCATAACCTTCTTTCTCAAACCAGAGCCTTTCCTGTTAATCTCCTAAATCATTTCAAACCACTCTTGCAGTCAGGCGTCTCTAAATCCTTGTCTCTCGCCCGCCTCCGACCCCATCTGATCTTCCTTTCTCATTATCGGTCACCGCTCTCGTCTCGTCCACTCGCTCTCCTCTCAC